TGGCTTTTGCATAGCTAAAGTAAGAGTTCAATTCTCTTTGTTTCCATATAATCTTCTAATTATATTTTTTTAAATATCGTCCTACCATAAGACGAAATAAACTGGGAAAAATATGAAAAATAAAAAATATTATAAGTAGTAATTATAATATTCTTTTTGATAAAATTTAAAGTTTTATAATTATCTATGAAAGATTCTAAATATTTTATATATATAATTTTATAATTTTTAATAGGTGAAGTCGACCCTATTATTCAAAAGCCATAATATGGCATAATAAAAAAATATGTTAATATTAACAACTTTATTTACATTACTATTAATAGCTGGTAAAACAATTCCATCTATATCAATAAACAGAATTATAATATTATCTATAGGATATGCAATAATCTTCACTATAATAATAATAAAGATTATTGATATAAAAAATATAATGCAAAGTATTTCAATTTATAGTAATTTATATCAAATAACAAAGATAGAACTATTTGTAAAAACATTATTGTACTTTGGAGCGTTTATTATAAGTTTTATAGGAGAATTAGTTACTAATAAAGGTAATATATTAAAATCAGCTGAGTATTATATATTAACTTTTTTAAGTCTATTAGGTATGATAACATTAATAGAATGTAATGATTTAATATCCATATTCTTATCTATGGAATTAACAAGTTTTCCATTATATATTTTATCCTCACTATATAATTATAATACTTCAGGGTTAGGGATAAATAAAGATAGTCAATCTGGTATAAAAGCTGGTTTAAAATATTTATTATTAGGATCTTTTACTAGTACTATGTTATTAGGTGGATTAATTATAATTTATTGTACTTTAGGTTTAACAAATTTAAATGAAATAGGTATTTGTATAAATGTGGGTATATCAAATAATTATACTACTATAGGAATTTTTTTATTATTAATAATAAGAATTATAATTACAGGATTTATATTTACTTTATCAGGTTTATTATTTAAAATAGGTTCTGTACCATTTCATAATTGATCACCTGATGTTTATGATGGTATGCCTACTATAGTAACATCTTGAGTTTCTATATTACCTAAAATAAGTTTTATTACTATAATGGGTACTTTAAACACTTTAATATTTAAATTTATTAATAAATCAAATTTAATATTTATATTAACTTCATTTGGTTCATTAATTATAGGTAGTATTGTAGGTTTAAGTCAATATAGAATTAAAAGATTATTAACTTATAGTAGTATTACACAGATAGGTTTTATATTATTAGGTTATAGTATTAAAGAATCATCTAGTTTAATGTCTATATTATTTTATTTAATACAATATACTTTAACTTCTATTTGTGTATTCCTTATTTTAATGAGTATTTATAAATTTATTAATATTGAAGTTATTAGTCAATTTAAAAATTTTTTTAATTTTAATTCCTTATTAAGCTTCTCCTTAATGATTTGTTTCTTATCTTTTGCTGGTATACCTCCATTTGTTGGATTTTTCGGTAAATTAAATATTCTTAAACAATCTATTCATTTTGGTTATTATTTCTTAGCTTTAATTGCTGTATTAACTAGTATTATTAGTGCTAGTTATTACTTAAGAATTATTAAAATTTCTCATTTTGATCTTACTTCTATTAATTTTACTTCTAATATTAAAGTTTTTGCTCATAATATTACTGGTAATATTACTATTAATAATTTTATTTCTATTTTAACTATTTTTATTATCTTTTATGTTTTATTGTACAATATAAATTGTAATTTATATAATTTAACTTTAATATCTAGTTTAATACCTATATTTAATAATAAAAAAAAATAAATATTTACTAAATATTATAAAAATGGACTATTTAAAAAATTAAAAATAAAAATTTTAATTTTTTTAGGTTTAATATTTTTATGAATAATTTATAATAATATTAATTCTTTAAATAATTTTACTTTAATAAAAATATGTATTATAATAATATTTTTATTTTTAAATCTTTATTTTATATTAAAAGATATATTAATTATAAAAAATAAATTTTTATATAAAAAAGGAGGTATTAATAATAAAATATCTCAAACAATAAAATTTTTCACTGCTACGGCAGGTCTATGAAGTAGTTATATAACTATAAAAGATAGGCAACAAAATATAATTAATACTAATAATGTAATTAAATCATTAAATGAAAAAAAATAAAGAATTAATAAATTTAAAAATTAATGAAAATAATTTATAAATTTATAAGGAAATAGATTTAACTCATTTAAACGAGATAAAAGATAAAAAATTATTAATTATAAGTAAATTATATATTATAGACATAAATTTTACAAATTTAAAAACTGAAATTAATGAAAATGATAATATAAATGAAAATATAAATAAAAGTAAAATTTTAGAAAAATTAAAAGATTTAAATAATGATAAAAATTTTTGAACTGATCAACTTAACATCTATAGATATTATAATATTAGAGTTATAGTTATAAATATAATATAAAGATTACTTATACATTGTAAATCTATTGTATTATATAATTTAAATACTAGAGTACGGTAAATATTAATTACCAGAGAATTAAATAGTAGATCTAATATATTTACGGAATATGATAAGTTAATTTTAATTATTATAAGTGTAATACATTATATACGGATAAAGTAATATAATAATTATATAAACTTTATATACTAATTCTAAAATATACATTTATTTTAATAACTATATTTAATGTATCTATAATCATAATATTATAGAATAGTATCTAAAGATCGAGCCATATCATATATAAATAAATAATATCATTATTATATTGCAGATACCATAAATATAAACCTACTACAGTACTAATTATAATAAAATTTACCTTAGAGTCTAGTTAGTATTAAGATTAAAAATATATAATTATGGTAATTCTTATAGAATAAGGGTAGTTATATAAAATGTATACGAATTTAAACTTTTATCTGAATTTCTATAATATCTTATACTTTCTTATTTCTAACTATATGTAATTTATAATTATAGTTCTATACTACATATAAATATAGTTATATATAATAAGTAACACCATTTAGATACTATAACCTTTTTATTACTAAATTAGATATAAATAAAGGTATAAAAAATATAAATAATACTATATTATATAGATAATTATAATATAAATAGTAATAATATAAATAATAAAGTTATTATTGAATATTAAATATATATTCTATTAAGTTATTATTACTTATCTATATTTTATTATATTTTCTAGTATGATTTTTAATAGTTATATAATCTATGTATTTTAAGATGATAATAAAATGACTATTAAGGACTATTTTTATTATAATATTTAAAAAATTGAAATCCTATACATTATAATAGAAGTATTGTAAACAATATAATTAATAATTTATATATATTTAATATTTAATATTAATCATCAGATAAATATATTTTATTTATACCTTTATTTAGATTAAATATTTTATATATAGAATTATAATATATAATAAAATTTAATATATTTTTATAGAAAGAATTATAGATAATTTTATCTTAAAATTTTTATAAATATATTTGTATAATAAAATATAATTATAAATAAAAAATATATAAAAAATATAAATTATTTTAAATTATAAAAAAAATTTTATAGAATTATAATTAAAAAATATATATATAATAGCCAGATTAGCTTAATTGGTAAAGCAGTAATTTTGTAAATTACCTTATATAGATTCAAATTCTGTATCTGGCTTAACCTACTTGGAGAAATTGGTAGACTCAAACGACTTAAAATTGTTAGCACTTTGTGTGTGAGGGTTCAAGTCCCTCAGTAGGTAAATAAGAGAAGAAAGCATTTTGGTATTGCAATCGCCCTGTAAAGGCGATGGTTTCGACCATTCTGGGTTCAAATCCCAGTTTTCTCAAGGGGAGATAGCTTAATGGTAAAGCCTACTGCTCATAACAGGAAAAATGTGAGTTCGAATCTTACTCTCCCTATTTATAAAAGATCTCATCATCTAAAGGTAGGATCTGGCAACTTCACTGCCATTATGTTCGTTCGAATCGGACTGAGATTAAAGGAATCGTAACTTAAAGGTTAAAGTGTTTACTTGATAAGTAAAAAATAATGGTTCAATTCCATTCGATTTCAAAAAGATTAGATATCTTAACGGTAAAGTATAGGGCTGCAAACCTTATTATGAGTGTTCGATTCACTCTCTAATCTTATCAAAATAATTAAAAAATTTTGATAAATATTATATATCAGAGAAAAATTAGCTTTTTATTTATCTTAATTTATTAATGATATATTTTGAAAAATTATAAAATAAAAAATTTTTTAGGGAGTATAACTTAATTGGCAGAGTATCAAACTTTTAATTTGTATAGTTTGGGTTCAAATCCCAATACTCTCAATTTATGCCTTGATAGCTTAACAGGTTAAAGTACGGAACTGAAAATTCTGGGTAGGATGTTCGAGTCATCCTCAAGGCAATAGCTGTAGTAGCTTAATGGTAAAGCAAATCACTGTTAATGATCTGATCTCTGTTCAATTCAGAGCTACGGCTTCATAATATTTATATTATAAATATATGAAGGGGTTCGAGTCCCCTTTTTCTAAAAAAGGATTATATAGGGAAAATAGCCTAATTGGTATGGCACTAGTCTGCTAAACTACACTTTTTAAAGTATGGGGGTTCGAATCCCCTTTTTCCCGAAAATCAAAAGGATTATATTTTCCTTTATAAAATAATAAAAAATATTATGAAATTAGCTTTATTATTATTTTTAATAGGTATCTATGGTATTATATTAAATAGAAAACATTATCTTTTAGTTTTAATATCTATAGAGATAATATTATTAGCTGTTACTATTTTAGTTCTTTATTTTTCTATTCTTCATGATGATATGTTAGCTCAAATATTTGGTTTATATATAATATCTATAGCAGCAGCTGAATCTGCAATTGCTTTATCTATATTAGTAGCTTATCATCGATTAAGAGGTACAATAAATATAACAATATCTACAGAAACTGCTTTACTTCCTCAATTTACTTTATAAAAAAAAAAATTTATAATAATTTATTTATTTATAATATAATATATTTTATTTTATATTTAATTTTATTTAATATATTTTATTTTATATTTAATTTTATATAATATATTTTTTTTAATATATTTTATTTTATACATTATTTTTATATATCTTTTATATACTTTATTAATTTATAATTTAATAATAAATTCTTTTAATAAAATTTTATTTATTATAATATTAGGGTAGATGACTGAGTTGGTTTAAGGTGCTTCGCTTGAAACGAAGAGAAGTTTTGAATAACTTCCATGGGTTCAAATCCCATTCTGCCCGTTAACGGATAGTAGCGTAATAGGTAACGCCTCTAATTTGGGATTAGAAGATTATAAGTTCGATTCTTGTCTATCCGAAATAAAAAAAAATTATGGTAAATAAAAAAAAGAAATAAAAAAAAAACAATAAACAAAAAATGAATACATTATTATTATTTATTATATTAACACCAATTATATTAATAGCTTTATTAATAATTAATCTTATAATACCTGTTAATAAACCTGATTTTTCAAAATTATCACCTTATGAATGTGGTATGGATACTATAGGTACAGCTAGAGAAAAATTTAATATACAATTTTATTTAGTAGCAATATTATTTTTAATATTTGATATAGAAGTAATATTTTTATTTCCTTTTGCTTCTGTATTATATAATATTTCTTTATTTGGTTTTTGAATAGGTACTATATTTATACTTATATTAACTATAGGATTTATTTATGAATTAAGTAAAGGTATATTAAATTTTACAGATAATTAATAATTTATAATTCTCTTAGGGAAATAATTTAATTGGTAAAATACTAGTCTCCAAAACTAGTTTTAAAGGTTCAAATCCTTTTTTCCTTGTAATATAAATTTTTTATATACACTCTTAACTTAATAGGTAAAGTTATAATCTTCGAAATTATAAATATAGGTTCAATTCCTATAGAGTGTTAAAATAAGGCGAATATAGTTTAAAGGTAGAACTACAATTTGTGGCATTGTTAATATGGGTTCAATTCCCATTATTCGCCTTAACTCGTTTAGCTTAATTGGATAAAGCATCGATCTTCTAAATCGTATATTGTAGGTTCAATTCCTTCAACGAGTGAAAATTAAAGAAGATTAAAAAAATATAAATTAAGTAAGAAATTATAATAAAAGTAAAAGAAAAATAAAAATTAAAAATAAAAATGATAATATTATTATTATTAATACCTATAATAGGTTTCATTATAAATTTACAAATAACAAATAATAAAAATATAAAAAAAATAGGATTAGCTACAGCTATAATAAATTTTATAATATCTATTATAATGTGAAATAGATTTGATTATAGTTGTATTGAACCACAATTTTTAATAAGATTAACAGATATAATTGCAATAGGTGTAGATGGAATATCATTATTATTTATATTATTAACAACATTTATTATAATTATATCTATATTAGCTACTTGAGATATAAAAGAAAATATAAAATATTTTATAAATTCATTATTATTATTAGAAACTATATTAATAGGTGTATTTGTTATATTAGATATGTTAATATTTTATATATTTTTTGAAGCATCACTTATACCTATGTTTTTATTAATTGGTTTATTTGGTAGTGATAAACAAGGTTATAAAAAAGGTAAAGGAAAAGAAGAATTAACTAGAGTATATGCTACTTATCAATTTTTTTTAATGACATTAGCTGGATCATTATTAATGTTATTAGCTATATTAACATTATATTCTTTTTCAGGTACTTATGATTATATTTTTATTTCTTCATCTTATTTTTTACCTTCAAGACAATTTATATTATGGTTGTCACTTTCCTTTAGCAAGAAAGAAATGACCTATAAATTTATTCATTCAAGTAATAACACTTTTTATAATAATAAAATATATATAAATAGTAATACGAATAAAGAATGTAAAAGTATAGTTATTTATGGTTCTAATTTTAGTTCAACTTTAAAATATAAAAATTTTAGTTCTAAATTAAGATCTATATGTAAAATACCTAAACATTTAAATTCTGTAATATTAGGAGTTTTAATATCAGATGGTTATTTATATAAAAATAAATCTAACAAGACATTGCTCGCTTTTAAACAAAAAAATTTTGAATATTTTTGGTTTATTTATAATAAATTTACACATTATTGTAGATCATTACCTTATATAACAAAAACTAATATAAATGGTAAAAAATATTATATTTATACATTTGCTACTAGAGTTTATCCTTGTTTTACTAAATGGTATAATATATTTTATCTAAATGGTAAAAAAATAGTACCTTTAGATTTATATGAATTGTTAACTTATGAAGCATTAGCTCATTGGATAATGGGTGATGGAACTAAAAGTTGTAAAGGTTTGAGTCTTCAAACTCAATCTTTTACTGTACAAGAATGTACTTTTATAATAAGTGTATTAAATTATAAATTTAATTTAAAATGTAATATTCATATGCAAAGAAATCAACCTACTATTTATATTACAAGTAAATCTATGAAAATTATTAAACCCCATATATTACCATATATGTCCCTAAGCATGATTTATAAATTAGGTTTATAATATTCATAAAATATTATTTAATATTTTATATTAATTTTAAGAACAATAATTGTATTACTATGAATAAAGTCTATGTGGTAAACTCGAGAGACCTCTAAAAGTAAAAATAAATAATTACTTTTAGAATATCGTCGAACTAAGTCAATTTATTGAAAAATTTATTGTAAAAGCGTAGAGGCCAAACACCACATAATCATCTAAGGGATAATAGAATTGTCCTAAGGGATTATAAGAAATGGTCCGGTTCACCGATGACGGATTTTAGATTAACATCTAAATTAATTATTTATACTATATATGATTGTATAAATATTAAGAAAATAAGCCAGCTATATCTGAAATGATAAAAGGCCTAACCCTGAGCATTTTTTATTTCTTTTGCTATAAAAACACCTTTATTACCTTTTCATCAATGATTACCTTTAGCACATACTGAAGCACCATTAAGTGGTTCTATTATATTAGCTGGTAAACTAATGCTAGCTCTAAATTTAGCTATATGCTGAAAACTCTTTTATATTTTAAGACAATCAGTAAGAAACTATATCATATTTGGTGATCGATTACAATCGATCGAAAAAATATCTTCAAATATAAATTTTATAATATATGAAGATAAATTTCATAGGATCTTCAGAGACTATACGCTAAAAATAATTAACAGTTATATATATAAAATATATACTTTTGAATTAAATTATAATTTAATAATTCCTATTGAAAAATTATATTTTTCTACTTTTATAAATAAACAAACTAATATTGATAATATAAATATTTTATTAACCAATAATATTTCATTTTTAGGTTCTTATTTAGCTGGTTTAATTGAAGGTGATGGTTGTTTTTATTTACCTAAAAATAATATTAATACACCTCAAATTATTATAACTTTTCATAATAAAGATTATCCTTTAATGTCTACACTACAAAAAATTTTAGATGTTGGTAATATATATAAAATTAAAGGTAAAAATGCTTATCATTACAGAATAAGTGATAAAAAAAGTTTAGAAAAAATAGTTATTTTAATTAATGGTTATATGAGAACTTCTAAAATTTATCAACTATATAAACTTATTGAATGACTTAATAAAAAAAATTTTAATATACCTAAAGTATGTTTGGATAAAACTCCTTTACATTGTAATGCTTGATTAGCAGGATTTATTGAAGCTGATGGTCATTTTTCTGTTAGAGTATCTATAGATAAAGAAACTAATAAATTAAAAAAAACTGCTTGTAGTTTAGAATTAGTACAAAAACAAAAAGATTTAAATGGTATTTCTAATTTTGATACTATGTCTTTAATTAGTAAATTTTTATTATGTAATGTTAAAGAAACTAATACTACTTCTAAAAATCCACAATATAGAATTAGAACTACAAATTTAGAAGGTAATTTAATATTAAAAAATTATTTAAATCAATTTCCTTTATTTGGTAGTAAATATTTAGATTATAAAGATTGATTAAAAATATTAGAGTTATTTTATATACAAAAGAAAAAAAATGAAAATGATATAAAAAAAATTATAAAAATAAAATCTAATATGAATAATAGAAGAACTTATTTTAATTGAGATCATTTACAAAATTTTTATAAATAAAACTGTTTTAATTATTAAAATATAGTCCCAACCATATAAAACATATGGAGTATCTACCAAATTAAAAATTTATATTTAAATTTTTAATTTGAAAACCAATAGGTTTATGACTTTTTTAGTAGTAGATCAAGAAAAAAAGATTATGTTAAAATTAGCTAGTTATGGATTTATAAGATATTCTTTAAATTTATTTCCAGAAGGTTCTTATTATTTTTTACCTTTAATATTACCATTATCCGTATTAGGAATAATATATTCTTCTTTTACAACTTTAAGACAAATAGATTTTAAAAAAATTATTGCTTATAGTTCTATTGGTCAAATTGGCCCAGTAAACATAATATGTTTACTGCAACAAACTATATGCGGGGAATTTAAGAAATTAAGAGGTATTAATATAATGTCCCTGATTTCAATATTTCAGAATACTAAAA